CTTAGAGTAGTAGAGATTCGTTATGACACTCAACTATTTTAAATCTTGCCATGGTCGTAGTATGCAATTACAAACTATGTCAAATATATGGTACTTCATTGAATGGCAAGCAACTATTACCCATCTTTTGATAGAATTCTTTTTATTATGATTTCACATAAATCTTCAATAAATGATTGACCGAAGCAAAGGGGATATCGTCGTGGTCCCGCATATCCCGCAAGATCAGTGTGACCTAAGTAAATTCATGTACACATTATACTAATCACCAGACAGAAAACATTTCCAAACAATTTGTCGTTCAAACAAATTCATGCATGACATTCTCAGATTAGCATATTGGGTCTGTGAGGCAAACATAAATAATTACTTTATTTAATTGACTAAATAATTCAAAATTACATATCGAATTGTTCACTATACAACTGAACGCAATCAACAAAGTAGGATTGCAATATTGTACAAACCGTATAATAACAGAACACGTTTACATGTCCAGTGATTCAAAGATGACGTCAGGCTGATGTGTGTTGTTCCTTGCATTGTTGGACTGTTCCATTCTGATTTTAGATGAACATTGACATCACTGTAACTGTAGAAACCTGTCATTGCCAGTGAATACAATATATAACAAGTGCAATCTACGTTGAGTAGTTTTCATATTAGTTGTATATCGAATGCACATTCACATTTTTTCGTCCAGACTATTATATTTTGGCGTCTACGTACCAATGTATCCATAATGTTTCATGAGTCAGTATTTGTTTGATGTCATACATACACAAAGCTTTTGGTCATTCTTAGTTTGCTTACAGTGTTATGTAAACGTTCGTCTAATGGGTCTGTATTCACTTATACTTATATACAATTTGACGAATAAATGGAAAGTGTGCGTCAAAAAAGAAAGAAATACTAATTTATTTACATATATAGACTAAGTCTGATATCTCGCGATTTTAAATGAATTGACAAAATAAGCAGCTATTGGCTAAAAGTGTTGTCCTTAGTTGAATGAGGCGTAGTAAAGTTTTCCTCATCACAACTTCGTGAATCTTTTATAATATGGGCGACGTTTGCATTAAAATCCCCCGCTAGAATGAC